GCCTAGGGGCCAGTGGCGCCTGGGAGGCAATCAGAGGGGGGTGGAGGGGAGGGTCCGCGAAGCCAGGGGGCTGGGGTGCAGGGGCCGGTCCCGCCATGGCGGCAAGACACCCGCATGCAATAGGGTCCGGGTGCTGCGGCCCAGATTCAACGCTCAGTCCTGCTGCAAGTGGGGGGCCCTCATGCAATCAGCGTCCCAGCACCACAAGACCAGCCCTCCTACGTCACTGCAAGCTGCTCTCGATGCGTTGCTGCATCCTGCAGCGTTCCATTGATCTTCACCATGCACCCTTACCACGCACCCATCCTCCGTTTCGGCCGGCCAAACCGTTGCACCCCCCCAGGTGGCCAGCTACTATGCCCAGGAGAAGGTGTCATTTGCCCACTGCCCCATAGTCGACCTGGGGGTCCCCACCATGCAGCAGTGAGCACACGCCGCAGCAGCCATGCGCGCGCCTGCAAAACCGCAGTGAAGGCCGAAGCCTGCCCGCGGGGAGCGCCTGTGGCGGCCGCCCACCTGCCCCTGCAGGCAGCGCCGGTCGATTGGACCATCAGACCTATCCTCATTTGGCCTGCAGTACGGCTTGCCACCCCCGAATGAGTCGCCCCATCATCCCCGCGAATATGTGCAGGCTGTCGGAGCTGGTTTCTGACCTGCAGCGGCGGCTGGCGGCGGGTGACAAGGTCTACCTCCACTGCTGGGGCGGCCGCGGGCGCGCCGGCACCGTGGGCGCCTGCCTGCTGGCGCAGATGTACGGGTGAGAACACCATGCGTTGAGGACGGGCCCCGCCTGGCGGGGCGCCACACTCGCGCCCGCCCGCCTGCGTGACCCCTGCGGATGGCGCTGCTGGACCGTGCGATGCGCAACCCCTCGCACACTCCTCGCACACTCCTCCGCCAAGTATGCGGCCGTGCTGTCGTTTCCACTGCCTTCCTTTCAATCGTGAATTTGGGCTGGCTTCATCAGCAAGTTTGTGCCCTCTCGTGCGTGCGCTCCACCGCCCGGCCCCCAGGCTGTCTGCTGACGAGGCGCTGGAGCGCGTGCAGCGCGCCTTTGACACGCGGCGCGACAACGAGCGGCTCTCCCCAGAGACCGACGAGCAGCGGCAGCTCGTGCGCGCGTTTGTGGCGCAGCTCGGACGATGAGCTCTGCGCAGCGCAGACGCGAAGAGCTTTTGGTCACAGTCTTGGCACAGGGGGTTGGTCGGTGCAGGTAGTGTATCCTGTGCGGTGCCTGGAAGTTTGTGAGATGCCGCGTGGAAGACTGTCTGGGGCTGTCTGACATGGCTTGACCGCCAAAAGTTTTAGCCCTGCCAGTTTGCATCCCGTATTTTTTCAGCTTGCCCTGAGGTCGCTTAATACAAGCACTGCGGCTCACCTGCGGGTCGCCAACTGAAGGGCTGCAGCTGCTCTGGCCATTGTCAGGCGGCTGTAATGAGACGCACCCTGCTGTTGTGGGCTAAAATGGGAGAAGCGACATTGCCAGCTGCTCCTGTTCGTTTGGTTAACAGATGCACTGCAGGACGGCTGAGCGGATAATGATCAGCTGGTCAGGAGCCCCGTTACATTGCTCTCGCCCCTCTTGTCACCCACCATATCATTACTCCACACAAGATCAAATGGTGATGCATCAGGAGAGGCCCGGATGTTACCGGCCTGTACTGCCACAACACGGAGGCCATCAATGGCTCGAAACCGACAGCCGCCACCCTCATCACGCACTGCTCTCGTGTGCCCGCTGTTCGCGACATCCGCTAAACAGCACACCAATGCCTGCCAGTCGGTTGACCAAAATCACGAATGTTTAGAAGCACCTCCCTCTTGCAGAGGACCCTTCACTTGGCATCTGTGTTGTCCTCACCAAACTGTGGATGATCAACATAAAGAGTGCAAAGCCCTTGCACATAATGTAGCTATGGCAACGCCAGGTCAAAGGGTGTGCACACAAGCACGCCCAGGGGGTGCACGGCAAGCAACTCAAGCGGGCAACTTGCAGCAACAAGCAGCCGGCAGCGGACTGCCACAGTATCCAGCTGCGGCACTGTACAGTACTCAGCGGCTGCTGCCACGCTGGGGTGTTGATGTATTGGGTAATCAGGCGTTGCACACCCTCAAAGCAGGGCGCGTGCTGTCCTGGGACAGATCTGCATGCCACACGGCATCGCACCCACCTTGACAGCTGGGGGCTTGGGGGCGCGGTCTGGGTCCGCCATGTCCCCGCCCCTGACGCCGCCACCAACCTGATACGAGTGTAGCGCGACGTGGCAGGTCATCGTTTGCATGTTTTCTCAAGACATAGTCAGCAGCAAGCCTCTTCCCAGTCCCAACTCCAGATTCCCCCGCCAACCATTGGCGAGGCGCCGACGCGACATCAGCGCTGACAGCCATGAATGTCACCAACACGGCCAAGTGAGGGAGCGAGGGGCTCTAACGTGCGCAAGTGGGGCCTTAGAAGAGACAACAGCACCTGCGAGTCGCTGCTGATTGGCGAGCCCCCCCCCCCTGTCCGCCCACCTTGCCGCCGACCCGCACGCGCTCGTGGCTCTCGCACTCATCAAAGCTCTTGCCAAACATCTCCTGGGCAGCCTGCGCGGTTCAGGCAGGAGTGCCAAAGGAAAAAACGTCCCAAATTGACATCGTACATTCCAATTGAGCAGATATGGCAGCCTCCCAAACCTCCTGCGCGTCCTGTGTGTGCTGTGTCGGTCAAGTCAGTGGCGTTCGGTTGCTAGCACACGACCATAGCAATCGCACAATTTCTCACATGCTGCACGCACCTGCTCGAGCTTCCTATCCTTGTCCTGACGGTCCATGGTTGCCGATGCGAGTGACAAAGTCTGTCGCTGGGTGGCGAGATCAGTCGAAGATGAGGTGACGGGGAGTGCCGGATAAACTTGGTATCACAGGCTTGAAGAAAAAATTTTGATGATCCTGATTTGCGGCTCGAACTCTGGTGTACTCGTGGTCCTGACGGCGTCGGCGTCGGCTTGCAGTGATGTCACCCATGTGCGTGTTCTGCTGTCGTTGCTTCAGGCAGCCATTTCACACCACACGAAGGAGTGTCGTACAGAACAAGCTTTCTGATGTCCATGATGCAGGATGATCCAAGCTTATTGAGATGCTAAGCTGATTGAGACGCAATGTAATGCACGACGGCATCGCAGGCGTGAACACCCCCAGCGACCCCTGTCAAGATGCGGGCTCCGGAGGCCTGTTCAAGTTGTTGGGGGCGACGGGCGAGGGTGCAGGGTGCCCGGGGACATAGTTCAGACCCTTCACAATCTGCCTTGTCCCCGCACAACACCAGTGCCTTGCTAGCAGACGCGCCCTCATCCCGCCCCACCTGCTTTGCGGCATAGCCTCAGGCATCACAGTGACATCACCAGCACAGATGCGACGCGTACAAATACACTCCCTTCCATCTGCCAGCCTGGATCTTATGTTGGCGATAGCCAGCACATGGGCATGGCCAGGATAGCATCACTTCAGTGTCGCGGCTTGAGTGATGGCTACTTCTAAATATTGTATCTCTGTTTCTCTGTGCGATCTGTGTGGGTGGTCGATTGCAGGGGGTAAAACTCCAGCAAGATTGGGGATTACGTGCATATAGCAGAGTGCAAGTGTACCCAGCCGCAGTCCCCCACATACGGGCAGCCTGCGCGTCTCGCTCCTCTGAATCAGGGAAAAAAATCAGTTGTGTGCTTTGCTCACCGGGATGTGCTTCACATCTTGTCACCATGCTGTTGCGTGCTGACTACCTGGACGGCAACTCAGCCGATAGTGAGTCGGCAGCCCTGATACACTCCCTGGGTGAACAGTAGCTTTCACCGCGTACCCAAGGTGTGCCCCCCCCCCCCCCGTGCACTCAGCTACTCACCCGGGTGAGTGCAGTGCCACATGTCAGGGCTGGCGAACGGCTGCGACCCAGCCTCTACCCCAGGTGAACATCAAAGTGGTGTCTTGATCATGCTACAAATTGTCTGAACAGGAGCATCAACTCGAGCATAGCAGAGGCTTTCAATCGAGCGCAACTCGACAGCAACACAAAATTGAACAGATCAGGCGCGCGCAACAGTCTGGGTCGTAGAGCAAGCTGTAGGCTGGAATGAAATCGTTGGGGTAAGTCATGTCAAGCTCGATCATGTTGCTTGCTGCAGGACCTGTGCGAGCTGATGCCGTACGCAGCCAAACAGCCTTGTTAATTCGAAACGCGCTGATTGGGAATGTGTAATATCCATATGAGATATTTGGAGTTGCGCGCAGATAGGCCGAGGCATCGTGCAGCCGCGCCGGTTGTGATGGAGCACCCGGCGCACCAGCGCTGAGACTCTCGCCCAAACTACTGCAGCACTTGACCCGCAATCGCTGCTGCCGATGCTCTTGCGAACCCCCCACCGCTCACACCCCCAGGACGCGCCCGGACGCCTTCACGATGACGCTGTCTGGCGGCCTCTCTGCCGGCAGCCGCGATCGCAAGAGCTCGTTCGGCGGCGGCATCTCTCTCATGGCTAACGGCGCCAGCGGCGGCGCCGGCGGCGGCGCAGGAGGAGGAGGAGGCGGAGGCCCCGGCAAGGCGCCGCCCCGCGCGTCCTCCATGTCGGGCGGCCCCTCCGCCCTCGTCGCCGCGGCCGGCGGCAGCTCCCGTTCGCTGCTGCTGCTGCTGGCCGGGTGCATCCTTGGCATCACATTCGTGTCGCCGCTGTTCCTGATGTCCCACAGAGAGCAGGCGCTGCACTTCGGGATGCTGCCGGGGCACGAGCCGCCGCGCGGCGGCGGCGGCGGCGGCGGCGGCGGCGGCCTTGGACACGCCAGCTTCCCTGCAGGTGCGGGCGCAATCACAAGGTTTCCCCCAAACCCCCCGAACTCCGTTGAAAATGCAGAAAACTGGCCGCGCCTGCCGGCGAGGTCCTCGCATGCAGTCGCTCACAGAGGCCTGCATGCAGCAGGTGGTCCCATGCAGATGCCTTGAATCAGGTGTCACATCCAGCCGGGCATGGCCAAGGTTTGCGCCCGCGCCGCCCTCTGCGCCGCAGGCGCGCCCCCCGCACAGCTCGCCGCGGCCTCGGACGCCGCCGCCGCCGCGCTCGCCGCCGACGGCCCCGCCTGGCTCGGGCCCTACGCGCTGACGGGCGCCGCGGGGGAGGCGGCGGCGGCGTTCTCTCGGGAGGCGCGGGCGGCGCGGCGGCGGGAGCGGGTGGGCGCGAAGCAGTACCTATTAGATCCAGAGCCCCTGGAGATGCGCATGTGGCACGCCAAGGTGCGCACACACGCATGCGCACGTGCACACGTGTTGCTGTTCGGCACTGTGGGTGCTCTCCGGCGGAGCGAGCGCGGTCGAAACGCCCAGGGGTGCCTGTCCCTGCCGCGTGAGGGCCGGACGCCTGAGCACGGCTGCGCCGTGTGGCGTCGTTCAACGCCGCTCGCCCCCCACAACACCCATTGACTACCTGTTTTTTTCCGTCCAGGTCAAAGCCCACCTTGCCAGCCGCGAATTCCAGTCAAAGGTGGCCGCCCGCAAGGCCAAGGCCGCCAAGCGCGGCGGCAACCGCGGCATCATCATGAACGCCGGCGGCCGCAAGCTGCTGACCAGCGCGGTCGTGACGCTCGCGGTGCTGCGGCGCGCGCTCAACTGCACGCTGCCCGTCGAGCTGGTGTGGCACTCCGACAAGGAGATGGACAGGTCGACGCTGGCGGCGCTGGCGCGGGAGTTTGGGCCGCTGAGGGGGTACAATGTTGCGGCGGAGCCCTTCCCGAAGCACCACCGCAGAGAGTGAGGGCCGCGGCGGGGGCGCAGGTGTCGGTCCGGTTGTGTGTGTGTGTGTGTTCGGGGTTTTGTGTGTGTGTGTGTGTGTGTGAGTGTGTGAATGCACGTTTGTGTTTGTGTGTGGTGCAAGGGGCGACGCACTGCCTTCGTCCTAAATTCTCGATGGCTGCTGACCTGGCGCAGAGCGGCCAGGTTTAGCCCCTGCCGCCCTCCCCGCGCAGCCTGACGCACGCTTGCATTCAAGCGCCCCCCCCATCCACCCACCCACATTCTCACACAGACCACGCACACACACACATACTCACGCTCACACTCACACTCACTCTCTGACACCCACACTGCTCAACCTTCCCCCCCCCATCCCCCTCGTTTTGCCTGCCCCAGGGACGTGAGCCTGGCGCGTTTTGAGGGCAAGGTGTTCAGCCTGCTGCACTCGCGCTTCAGCGAGGCCATCCTGCTGGACTGCGACAACATTCC